AATTGCACACAAATATATTCCATATTTCTATTGCTTTAAACAACTTACCTATACCATGATACCAGGTAGCGATCAAGTTGCATAGTGCCATTATGGTAAAGTTCACGGAGACGAGGCATTCCATTATGCCCATAATGTTACCCCAAGCTCGAATCATGTTTCTTAATTGTGGTGCGAGCACGTAAAAACTCAAAATTCACGCCACAATGACAAATCTTAGATTTGGCCGACGAATATTGCTCTGATTGTGAGGTGTATTTGGATTCGGCCACACGCCTAATATCCTCAAACATAGGCGACTCAGGGCAAAAGCGTAATTTATATCTAACAATTCCGAATTTTAAGAAAAAATATTATGGTTGAAAGCAAAGTTTTTTAAAACAGTTTGTATTATTAACTTAATTATAATATCATATTTTCAGTTATTTTTTTCTGTTTACTCTAGTAGAAGAAAGAACGATTTATGCGACAATGGAACTGTTTTTTTTAGCGAATTATACCTAACTTCGCCATTGAAAAACATCACTTGTTTTCACTTTGCGTCCAAAGCGAATATTTTTTTGCTACCGTACACAGTTTAATGCGACTTTCGTGAAACTTTCGTCGAATTTGAAGTTCTATGAAACGTTTATAGTTTAAAAAATAATAGATGTATCAGGCTCTGATGATTGTTAAAATCAATAAATTTAAAAGGAGCGTAAAGAGCCAACAGCCAGATATTCGTGCGAAGGTTATCGTGTATTAATATATAACCATTAAACAATACATTAAAAAAAACAAACGTTTCAGCCTGTCATCAGGCCTTTATCAATGTTATTACAAAATTCAAAAATTACGCAACGCAAAAATTATAAACATAAACCGAAGTAAAATTAACATAATAAACTGAAGAGTAGTTAAAACCACGTTAAACTGTAATAAAAAAGAGCCAAATGAGAAAATTCCGGTTACAAAAAAAGCGCAAACCAAATAAACAGAAAAAAGAAACAATTTTTACATACTTGTGTTAAACATAGTAGAAAGCTCGTCCACACAAGATGGAACGAGGTAGGAGAAAAAACTTAGAACCATATAATGTGATGGTTGAAACCTCAATGTACGTGATAGAATAACGATAAGTTCAAGCGAAGAAAGATTAGTGAGAGGGCGGTGGAGGAAGGGGGGGGGGGACAGAAAGAACAAGGAGTATGGAGGGGAGGGTATAAGTACCTAGGAGGGGAAGACAGGAATTCATATATGAAAGGAAAAACGATACAATTATAAAGGGGGAAACAAATTAATAATGGGGAGATAGGAGTCAGGTAACCGTTCTGTGTCATTTTGATTGTTCAAGCCTGCACGTTGTCTTTTTATGAACACCATTTCGGATATCAATCTCTTTCCATAAGAAGGTTCTCCGTCCAGAATTCTCACATTGTCCCAGTCAAAATCGTGAGAAAAATCCAATTTATGTTTGGATATAACAGAGGGGGAACAGCTCTTTTTAATATCATTCTTGTGTTCTTTGATTCTAGTATTAAGCTGTCTTTTAGTCTGACCCACGTAAGTTTTCTCACAATCTCGACATGATATCATGTAAACAACATGACAATGTGAAAACTTATTTAAACTGTCTTTCCCCGTCCGTATGAATTGTGTTAGATTGTTAGGAATAGAACATGATAATTTTAAATTGAAGCTTCTGGCTATGGAGTTAAAATCTTTATAAACCGAAGGAATGTAAGGAATGGTAAAAAAAGTCTTAAAGTCATTATTGTCATAAATATTGTTTGAACGATTGCTAATTAAATTATAGTCACTAGATTTTTTATGAATTAAAAACTTAAGCCTATTATGTATAGTCGAAAAAATAAAATTGATAGGAAAACAGTTATTAAGTAGGATATTGATTGCAATAGTAAAATTCTTGTTATGAAATTCAGGATGAGAAAGTAAAAAAATTCTGTCCGTTAAACTTATAATGGTCCCTTTTTTGTGCGATATCGGATGGTGGGAATGATAATTTAATAATCTACCCGAAGAAGAAGGTTTCCGGAACCAGTCAAATGTGATAGTGTTATTTTTCACAATCAGAGTTAAATCGAAGAAATTAATTCGATTGTCCACACCAACTTCCACAGTAAACTTTAGTCTCTCATGGTAGGAATTAAAAACGTCACTAATAAAATTTATAGAATTGTTAGGTGCAGCTAAAATGATATCGTCCACATAACGGTAATAAAAGGGTAACCTGAAAGGTAGTCTATTTAACGCACTGATTTCTAGGTCCTGTAGTACTAAGTCAGCAATCAATGGGGATAAAGGAGAGCCCATGGGGGTGCCATAAGTTTGTTTGTAAATTTTGTTGTTAAAATTAAAAAAAGTGGAGCTCAGTATCAAGCGGATGCCCTTCAGAAATTCATTAAGAGGGATGGAAGTATTTGGGGAAATTAAAACCCATCTGTTAGAAATGCTGTCAATAGCTAATTCTATGGGGATGTTCGTGAACATGGATACAACATCTAGGGAAATAATTTGAAAATCGTCCCCAATAACAATAAGTTTATAGTTTATTTGCTGCAGCGTATGATTTTTGCAAACTTTGGTAATAAAGTTTGAAAGCAGATTTCTTTATTCAATAAATAATTTTTTATTATGCAATCATCATTATGTGATATTACTTGTTTTTTGATGATTAATATATTATTGAATGAAGGAATAACATTTTATACATGATGAACAATACACAGAGATTTTAAGAAATTTTTTTAACATTAATAAAGTACCTACATAAAATGAAACATAAAGTAAAACAGAGCAACTTTTATAAAATTAATTAAATAACGAAGACATAATTTAGATTTTTATGTAACAAATGACATGCCCCTTAAACCAAATTATTTCGTATTTGAATATTTTTTTATTATTTGTGTTTTCTCGTTATCTTAATAATTTGGCCATAATTTGTTATTATTTTACCGATGTATCACAGTATTCAAAACGTAACAAAAACTTTTAATTAACGCACTTATGTAATCAAAAACTTGATTTTAACACTTTTTTCGTATAAGATAGATATTTCACACAATCTGATTATTAGAATACCACGGTGTAGATTTTTTTGATAATTTTCCGATATGTGTTCTGTTTTTGTTGACATTCATTGAAGTTCCCGAAGCGAAAATTATTGTTTGACTGAATCGTCTCTACGATTATACCAGTCCGTCGTGATTTGCGCTTGCTCCGTGCAATGAAAGGTTTAGCCACTACCATCTGTGACTGTTTCTAAACCCCTTTGGTCAATATTCGGTATCAATGCGAAAAATGCACATATGTGATCATTTTACGCTGAATTGAATACGTAGTGAATACAACAGCTGCTTTTTAACTATAAGTTATTTGCTCGATGAGAATATTTGATTAGCAGTTACTAATTCTTAGTTTCTAACTGTTGCAAAAAATCTGCGACGAGATGTTATTGAAACAAAACTCAATTTTGTTCAAAAATTGCTGTATTGTATTGTATTGTGTACAGAATATTATTTCTTCCCTTAAAAACATGATATTGTACATTCGCAGAAAGATAGAATTATTCATATTCTCACAACTAATGTGCTATTGATGTTGTTTCGGTTTTGTATTAGCGAAACTCTTATTTGATATTTTAATTTTTTGCAATCTCTTGCATTGATTTAAGAATTCTGTCCTAATGTAAATATATTTCTGTTTTACAGATACACTTTTGTGTCGTGCTTTGAATCGTCATGTTTGTTTCGCCGTATAATTTCGTAATATAATAGAACGCGCCACGGCAGTGCAGAAGTGCCATTTAAAGTGTCGTGCGATTTTTGTATTTCCGTTGCAAACACATGTGCCTTAACAAACTGCAAGGACTCAGAAGAGAAGGAAGCACAAGAGGAGCATTGGGCGCTGGCTGAGCTACGTTTAGGTAATTAATCATTTGTTGTTTAGAAATTAGATTGTTTTCAATAATAACACAATTGATTTATTAAATTTCTAGAAAAGCACCCAAAGAATTTTAAAATTATATTTTAAACATCAATTCGTTAAAGCATCAGATTGAACAATAACGGAAAGTCGAGATATGATGGTCGTTTATAAATGATTAATTAAAGAATTTTTCATAAAAATTCGAGACAAAATTTCATTTCTACAGATAATAATATTATTCTCAAATGGCACAATTAGATTTTTCAAATTCAATTATTTATTTTTTATAAATGGTTTACATTTATAATAAATATATGCTCGATTAAATTTAATATGTTTACTATTATACAGATTATACAGAAAGATTGCCAAACTTTTGCAACAAACTATCTATATCGCTACATCTATGTACATTCTATGATGACAAATTATTCATTCAACTCACATATAACTTACAGATGTGCAATTATAAAAAAATTTCTTTTTATAATTTGCCCTAATTGCAATTCACTGTCAATGCAACAGAGAATGCTGCTGCAATGTCATAATATTTTATTATTATGATTTCTAACGTTATGTAATTTATTGTTTTTAAACAATTCGCAACACACCTGTATATTTTGCAAACTGTTTGATGAATTATTTATTTAATAAACTTTTTTTGGCAGTATTTTTAGCTGACGCTTTAAATATGTAAAATGTTTGTAGATGCCAATTTTATTGTATTAATGATATATACAAGTATATTAGTGTTTCTAGCATGCATACTTAGGTCAGCATCTCTCGATGCTTATTGGATGTTGAAAGTGCAATGATAAGATAATTGTCGTTAACTTTTTTGATCATTTCTTTCTTGAAAAACTTTTGTATAATTCCAACAAACGGAAATTAATAAATATTTTGCTTTGCTGCGCAAAAATATATATTTGTTTAGTAAAAATTATATTAAAAACAGCGCATGTAAATCCATTTATCTAATTATAATTAGATAAATAATTATTTAAAAAGAAATTGAAAAAAAGTCAATTATGCTGAATTCTGTGCTATTTCCAATATTAAATATTTCTTCTCTAGTCTTTCATTGTAAGCAATGCGGATAAATATCCCATCGATGTCTTAACTGTCTAAAAAATTAAAAATTAAATTTAGTTTTTCGTACGCGAACACACTTACACACAATTAAAATTAAAAAAATTGAAAATTAAAAAAATTTTATAGCAATTGATACAATAATTACAATATATTATTTTCTATATAGATATCTTACTGTTCCAAACATTTCCAGTGAAAAAATGCCGAATTTTCCAGCTGTCAATTTAAGCGGAATTCTAGATCGATGTGCGATAATCATTAAGTCCTTTGCGTTTTTTGGTGGCAAATTGTACCACTTGCATTCATACACGCCATACGCCATACTGGTGCTCTGAAAATTACTTCTTTATTCTGTATTTGTCTCGTTAATGCATTGCCTTGTAATTATTTTACCTCCGTTAAAAGTCTTTCAGCCGAATAACAATAAATGTATAAGTGTGTCAACACAAGAGTGACATAAAAAGATAGAAAAGCTACTTTGATAATAGACACGTCCAAATTATCTGTTATTATCTAAAAATAATGTTTTTTATTAATTCAAATATTTCCGTATATAGTACAATACACTTTATCATACAATTTTAGTACACACAATGTATTAAAATATTGTAATATAAAATGACGTTACTAATTTCAAGATATTAGATTTGATTAGAAACTTTCTTATCAGCAAAATGCACTTAATTTTTTGACTATAAAATAATTGAGCGTGAAACAAATTGTTTTGCTTACTGTGAAAACTTGAAAAGTTTCAAAACATAACTGAAAAGTGGCGCATAGCATATGCACAAATAACACTCCGCTGTAGCATTCGTCGATTGTATTCGCAGTTCTTGAAAATTTATATATTATTTATTTGTTATATACATTATCCATTTTATTAAAATATTAATGTACAAATCTTCAAAAAATTAGTTAATTTAGAGAAGTACAATATTTAGAATAAATATTTCAAATTTTTAATATTTAGAATAAATTGTCTTTACATTTTTCTATAACTTCAGTTTTTATGCCGGTTAAAGATGTATTGTTTTTTTTCGGTATTTTTTATCAACAAAAATTTTTGTTTATGTAATATTGTATATATTTATTCTTATAAATATGAAACAATTATTTAAATTTATTTTTGAATATTTTAAACGTAATATGTTTTACAGATACTGTAATATATGTACGCACTTGATGAGATGTTCGTGTCGTATAACAATTGCAGCTAGGCCTTTTTTAAACTTCAAAGTTGATATGGTTTTGTTGGCTAATTCGTCAACTATATTATTAAGTGCTGACCGTAAATTTTGCAGTTGAGCACATACTTGTAGCACGAATATCGAGACAAAGCTGTCAACAGTGCAATTAATTAGAGCCGAATATGCGCCACCAGTAACTTGAACAAAAAAAGTTATTTCATAGTTTGGACTCTTCTGGGTGTTGTAAGGATACGCGAACTGATAGGCGAGAATCCGTTGAGGTTGATGCATGCTTCGTTGAAACTTCAAAACATTGAACCATACATAAAACGCAACTGTGAACATCGCGGACACGTAGCATCTAAAAGATAAACTTCTTCCGCGTCTTGCAATCTTTAACATTGTACTTCGTTCCCAGTCGCTCTTCGAAATTATCCAATCAGTCATGACTGACGTCATCAGCGTTCGCAGTGCTTCAAAATTAAACATAATGTATTAGTACAAATATAAATTATCTTTATGTAAAAATATTGAATAATTGTCCACACATAGTTTCAGACACTTAGACGTCTTACATTTGTTTTATTTACGATAAATGTGTAAATATATTAATATATATAAATTTAAATGCACACAAATATAGTCCACATTTTTATTACTTTAAAGTAACAACTTACTTTTGCCGTGATACCAGGTAGCGATCAATTTGCATAGCGCCATTAGGCTAAAATTCGCGGAGGCGACGTATTCCACCATGCGAGCAACATTACCCCAAGCCAGAATCATATTCGTTAATTGCGGTAGGATCACGTAAAAACTCAGAATACACACCACAATCACAAATCTTATATTTGGCCGGCGAAAATCACTCAAAGGGATTTGTGGATCGGGCCACACGCCTAATAGCCACAAACATTGACGACTCAGGGCAAACGCGTAATTTAAATCTAACAAATCCGAATTTTAAGAAAAATATTATGGTTGAAAGCAAGGTTTCTTAAGCAATTTGTATTGTTAACTTAATTAAAATATCATATTTTCAATTATTTTCTTGGGAATTTATAGTTTTAGAGAATTCTGTTTGCACGAGTAGAAGACAAAGAACGATTTGTGCACCAATGGAACTGTTTTATTTTTAGCGAACTATACCCAACTTTGCCATGAAAAACATTACCACTTTTACTTTACGTCGAAAGCGAATATTTTTTTGCTACCGTACACAGTTTAATGCGACTTTCGTGAGACTTTCGTCGAATACGCAGTTCTATGAAACGTTTATAGTTTGCTTGCAACAAAGTATGATTTCTGCGAACTTTGGCAGTGAATGATTGAAAGCAGACTTTTTTATTCAATAAATATTTTTCTGTCATGCAATCATTATTATGTGATACATTACTTATTCTTTGATGATTAATATATTACCGAATGAACTAATAACATTTTACGTGTGATGAACAATACACAGGGATTAAAAAACATGTTTTTAATGTTAATAAAGTACGTAAAGTAAAACATAAGGTAAAACAGCGTAACACTATCAAGAAATTAATAAAATAATGATGATACAAGTTAGTTCTTTAGAATGACATGTTCCGTAATGCAAATTATTTTGCAATTAAAAATTTGGCCATAATTAATTATTATTTTACGGATGTATCACATTCAAACTGCAACAACAAAAACTTTTAATTGACGCACTTAATCAGAAACTTTTAACACTTTTTTGTATAATATCGATATTTCACATAATCCGATTATTAGATTATCGCGTTTCAAATTTTTTATAATTTTTCCATATATATTCTACCTTTATTGACATTCATCGAAGTTCGCGGAGCGAAAATTATCGTTTGACTGAATCGTCTCTTCACGATTGTTTCAGTCCGTTGTGATTTGCGCTTGCTCCGTGAAGGGTTTAGCCGCTACCATCTGTGAGCACTTCTCTTTTTGGTCAATAATCGATATCATTGCGACCACACACGTTTTACGTTGAAATGTATACGTAGTGAATACAACAGGTGCTTTATAAGTTTTACTTGCTTGAAGAGAATATTTGATTAGCAACCACTTAATTTCTTTATTATTGCAAAGAGTCTGCGAAGAGATGTTATTGAAACAAACCAGGATTTTGTTTAAAGTTTACAGGTGTGTTGTATAAAATTTTATTTATACACGTATGAATACGTGTATTGTACGTTCGCAGAAAGATAAAACTGTATTTTTACAACTAATATGCTGTTGATGTAGCGTCGACTTTGTATTAACAAAACATATGTAATATTTCAATTTTTTTGCAATCTCCTGAATTGATTTGAGAATCCTGTTTTAATGTAAATGTATTTCTGTTTTACAGATACACTCTTGTGTCGTGCTTCGAATCGTCATATTTGTTCCGCAGTAATTTCATAATATAATAAAACACGTGTCGAGAATGTCATTAGACCGGGAGCGCCGTGATAGTTTCGTGCGAGTATTCTAGCGAATCGTATGAATGAACGCATTTCCACCGCACGGCAAATATTAGAATACGATTTTTTCTCGACTTTGAACTTAACTCGGGGGAGAAAAAGATCGGTTTTTATGGGATTAAACCAATCTCCTTTACCTTCTTCGAGCTTACCTTTTGCTCTCTATTTTGAAAGAATCGTACTCCAATTGTGGAAAATGCGGTCGTCTGAAACGCGGATGGAATTCGTACGTAACGTCGCAACTTGGATAATTCGGTTCGATTCGCATGCGACGTCGGAATTGCCGTTTAAAGTGCCGTGCGAATTTTGTAATCTCGCGTCGTATGTGAATACTTTGAAGATCACTGAGAACAGGAGGAAGCTCAAGAGAAGCATCATACGCCGGCGGAGCAACTTTAGAGTAATCATTTGTTATTTATTATTTACAAAATGTTATGCACAAAATATTAGAAATATTCAATAAAATATTTAATATTCATATTTGTAATGTTTAATATTCATATTTAATTATTAGAAATTTTTGATATATATATATAGATTATTATTATTATTAAATAATTAAATTTTTTAAAATAAATATTTTATTAGATATTTGCTTAGATAAATAAGTTAAAAAGTTGAATGTACAATTATAATTTCACAAATATTAATTGTTTTGAACGCAACTCTAATCTAAATTTATTTTCATATTTTACAGATTAAGTATGCAGATCAACAGAACGACAACTTCGCTGCTGCGCATCATTTGGTGAGTGAATTCAATTTGTCTTTTTCGTTATTATGATAATCTATCTATGATATGTAATAAATATTCTTTAACACTGCGACGACTTTCCCGTCGGGCAGAAGCTCACCCGCCGGTAGGCGTGCAAACCTCGTTGCTCTATTTAATTCTCTCTTAATTACTGTAATGCTTATAATTGGGCGCCAGGCGCGGATTGACGCGCCGCACGAACGAATACGTTAGAGTCAATATCGTCATTAATTTGCAACGGCGATAAGCGCGACTAGCCCGCTCTCCAAATGGCAGAGGGGCGAGGTTCTTGAGAGATACAAAATAACGACTTGGAGAGAGGAGTCTGAAATAAGGCGGTTATTGAGAACACATTAAAGTTTGGTAACAGATAACATGTAATTATAACAAATAGATCAAGTGAGATTGACACCGGGTGATAGGCGTCTTAACAATCCCGCGGAGCGGAGACATAAATTATCTCTGTGAGAGGCGTTATAAGTTGGACGTTCGGCTCGCGGAAACCCGCGTAATTCCGTCTCACACGGTATAAGATGTTTGGCGTACAAGTTTTACAATTCTGATTAGGTACGGTCGTTCGATTCACTCTACTTTAATCCTCCTCAATAACAAGTTAGCACACAACGCGAATTCTTTCTCTACACGGTTCTTAACAGTTCTTAGTGGAAATGCTCGGCAGAAGGCCGAGACGAGAGATACGCGACAGGCTAACTCCAAAGATATTCTTACGCTCGGTACGTAAATACATGAGTAGACGCGAAATTACTTATAAACAAAAGACATTATTCAACGCAAAACGACCGTCGGCTCGGCAGCCCCGAGGAGAAGAGCATGGTGGAATCTTAATCTAAAGCAGCGGTAGTCAGCGCGGCCCGGCCTAAATCTAACCTCGCACGATACCGCGAGACATCTCGGTACATACAATACCCGTTATGAAAAATATGCGGGTTCTTATTTCCGCGAGGCTCGGGCCGCCTACTGATACCGCTCTTACTGCGAAGTCGAAGTGGTGGCCTTACAAATCGTCGGTACGCCCGTTGTGGCCCTCAAGGTTCCGCTCAGATTGCCGACTCACCGAACAGTGACGACAGCGAGGCTCGTCGGACAGCGGCGACATTCCGCGCATCGTCCTGCGCATGTAGATCCTCGCTATCGATAAGCGATTCTTGATCCTTCGATGTTATCTAGTGGTCTCGATCCTCGCGTCGCTCCTCGATATATCGGCCCTCGGTAACGCTTTTCCGAGGTGACCCCGGTCTCTCTCTTCTGGCAACTGTCCTTAACGCCCTTCGCGGCCTTTTTCGTTTCCGGATCCGAACCTTCTTTGAATCGGCCGGGAACTGGCCAGGTTCCGATCTGATTCTGCTCTCTGGGCCCGTTACGACAACTCCTTCGGGTACTCCACCCCGGGTCTCCGGCGTGTGAGAGCGCGCTTCCCTCTCGGGCGTCATTTCTTTCGGTGCGTCCACCGGCCTCGATATGCTCCGAATCTGAAACTGGATCTGCGGTAGCGACTGTATCTGGAGTCTAATTGTACAAGCAAGGGTATGTTTACTTGCCCTTGTTCCGGATCTGTCTGCGCGCCGTCCGGGCCTTCGTCGTCCCGCCTGCAGAGTCCCTCGCAGCTCCCACGAAGGCTGCTCCACCTCAGTCACAAAATGGGAGTTTGGCCACTCACTACGACTCGCGCAATTCGCTACAACGCTTAAAAAGAGAATTAAGAGGGAGAGGTCGTCGCCCCCCGCGGTGAGGTTTCCGACCTCAAATTTTCCTCCTCGATCGGGCTTTCTCGCCCTTGTGATGGACCTCGAAAATGTCACGTCACAACACATTGGAGATCATAAAATAATGATTGTTCAAAAGTTTTATTCTTGCGCATTTTTAAAGTATTTTAAATTCTATAGACATTTTTTTTTATAGAAAACGAAACTACATAAAAATACACAATATCATAGATTTATTATCTTAAAATGGATGGGCTAGGACTTAGATTCATTGATGAATACTTTATGAATGTATTTTATGAATAACAGATCACAGCAAAATTGAAATATTTGGAAAGTTTTAGTAAACTTTTTTAATGACAAAATTGAAAACAATTTTTATAAGTTCATATGTCTATTTTTATTCAGTAATATGTACACACAAATTGTTAAAAATAGTTAAAGATTGTCGAAAATAACGGTGCATATATTATTAAATAAAGATGGATCTAAATATATCAAAATTGTTTTTGATTTTGTCATAAAATTGCTATAAATTTTGCAAATAATTCAATATATTAATATTTTGAACTTGGCCGGAGACACTACCGCGTCTCCTGATTTTGAATAATATATTTATTCTTGCTATACGCCTGCTATTTTTTTGTAATCTTTCCTAGTTTATCCATGATATCCGTGATTCCGTGGCTTAATTGGTTCCATGGTTGAGCACGGAAATTCGAAATTTGTGGTCCCATCGATCATGATCGAGCACAGATCTCGAAACAACGTTGATATAATCGACTGTCAACACAAACTTTGGACGCAATTGGCGGAAACAGAACTGATTGTGCGCCAGCGTCCTATAAAAAATTCTGTCGAGGCAATAACTCTCGACTCTTGGGGGCTAATAGCGGTGAACTGAACCGAGCTCTACGCTAAGCATCCCTCAAAAAGTTTCCAAACTGTGTCGCGAAAAACTCCTATATTTTGCGATTCCGCAAAAAATTCAATCTTAATAACCTTAATTCAACCTTATTAAGTTTATCTGTTAGGTAAAATTTTTATATTAGGTAGGATTTTAAAATTTTACAGAAACTTAATATTTTCTATAATTTTTTGCATCGATAAACTTTGAAACTTTTGTTTTGGCAATGAGTTTGCAGTTTGTTGATGACAAAAATGACCAAAATTTCGGGTGGGCAAACAGCAAGATTCTCTTCCAAAAATGTAAGAAGTTTCTTGTGCAAAATTTTGAAAAAAATTGGACGTATCAGCAATTTATTTTGATTTTTAGGTAGACTAAAATTTTTTACATTTGTGGTAAATTTTATTGCAATATTTCATACGATAATGTCACATATGGTATATTTTGATTTTCAGGTTTACTAACATTTTTTGGGTTTATTAACATTTTTTGGGTTTATTAACAAGTTTTGTTACAATATTTCAAGTGATGACATCACATATGATTTATTTCGATATTTGAATATAATAAAAATTAATTATATTATAGATTTATTAATAAGGTGTACAATTACTTTCTTTAAGAAAAATTAAAAATTTCACACTAACATCCCGCGACGGTTCTCAATGCCTTTCTATTATATTATTTGATAGTTATCATATGAACCTTTCCATTATATGTGTTATATGTGTTTTATTAATAAGTTTTTTAACAATATTTTAGATCGAAATATTATTTCGATTAAGGTTTATTTCGATTTTTAGGTTTAATAACTTAATTTTATTAAGTTTATGATTAATTGAATTAAAGTTAGCATCTCAGAATTTTACAAGCACATAAAGGGGAAATTTTTCAGAAAAGAATATATGTATATCTTTTTTACAATATCATCTAATTAAAATGCAATATGCGTTTGATATAAAGCATATAAACTTATATCAAGAAATAATTTTGATCAAATAATGTATGCGATAAAATGAGTTTACATTATAATAGAATTAACAAACGTTAACATAAGCGCTATATTGTTGTAACATCTTATCAACAAAATGTGAATATTTTACTTATGCGATTTTTTTATTTTAACTAATATTTACGCAGATTTATTATTAATCTTATATTATATTGCTTAGTTTGCAAAAGTCATAAAGTTTTGATTATTAAATACTTATGTGGCTTAAGATTAAAAAAAATACTGTAGTATTATATACGGTTTACTTCGATTTTCTAAATTTACTAAAATTTATTAAACGCATTTACGCGCGATAACGCAATAACTGCCGTACAGTATTTTTATAACACTATCAATATAATACTATTAAATAGCTTGCTTTGCTACACAGAAATGTGTATATGTTTAGTAAAAATTACAAATGTTACAAATAACGCATATAAACTTCTTTATCTTATTATTTGAAAACGAATAGTAGTCAGTTATACAGAATTAATTCGGTACTATTTCTAACACCTTCTCTCTAGTCTTTCATTGTGAGCAATGCGGATACATATCCCATTGACGTCTTTACTGTCTAAAATAGTAAAAATTAAAGATAAAATTATTTTTTTACATACGCGCACATACTCACAATTACAGAAATTGATTTTTGCACAATAGTTACAATAATATTGTTTTCTCTAGATATCTTACTGTTCCAAACATCTCCATTGAAAAGACTCCAAATTTTCCAGCTGTTAATCGAAGTGGAATTTTAGATCGATGTGCGATGAACATTAGATCCTTTGCGTTTTTCGATGGCAGATCGTACCACTTGCATTCATACACGCCGTACGCTATATTGGTGCTCTGAAAATTACAGTTTCGTTCTGCATATGCCGCGCGTTAATGTACATAAATATTTTACCTCTGTTAAAAGTTTTTCAGCCGAATAAGAATAAAGGTACAAATGCATCAATACAAGGATGGCGTAAAACAAGAGAAAAGCCATTTTCAAAATAGACACCTCCAAATGATCTGTTATTATCTGAAAACAACATTTTTTAATTCATGTATTTCCATATAATAATTCCATATAACAATTAATACTACAAAAAGACGTCATTACTAACTTTAATATATATATTTAATTTGTCTACTATAAAATAACCGAGTGTTAAATCTATATAAATTGTCTTAATTACCGTAAAAACTTGAAAAGTTTCAAAACATAACTGAAAAGTGGCGCATAGCATATGCACAAATAACACTCCGCTGTAGCAGTCATCGATCGTCTTTGCATTTCTAAAATATTTATTTAATACATTATTTATTCATTATGCATCGATTTTATCAAGAATTTCAATGTACAAATCTCAGAAAATAATTAATATCAAAGTGCAAATTTCTGTATATTGAATTAATCAGCTTTACATTTTTTGTCGTTTACATTTAAAACTGATAACTTCAGTTTTCTTTTTGTTATTTTGTTCTTTTTCTTTTTGTTATTTAAAAGTTAATCTTTAAAAAAAGAACATTTTTATCAAAGAAAAATATTTGATTATGAGTTATATGTTTGTTCTTATGAATATGTGGGATGCTGAAATTTATTTATAATATTTCAAATAATTTGGTCCACAGAGAGACAGATAGTCATATATTTTATAATATAAAATAATGAACGAAAGTTCTTTAACGTACCGGATGAGATGCTCATGTCGTACAGCAATCGCAGCTAGGCCGTCTTTAAATCTCATTGATGATGTGGATCTGTCGGCTAGTCCGTTAACCACGTTATTAAGTGTCGTTCGTAGATTTATCAGTTGTGCGCATACGTGTAGCAAGAGTATCGAAATAAAGCTGTCGACGGTACAGTTGATGAGGGCCGTGTATATACCACCACACATTTGAGTGAAGTAGGTTATTATGTAGTTCGGAGTCTTCTGAATATTATAAGGATAGACAAAGTGATAGACGAGGCTCCGTTGAGACTGCTGTATGTTTCGGTAAAACTTCAAAAAATTGAAGCATAAGTAAAACGAGACCGTGCACGTCGACCACGCGTAACACCTAATAGACAAGCTTCTGCCGCGTCTCGCAATCTTCAACATTGTATTTCGCTCCCAGTCACTTTTCGAAGTCACCCAATCTCTCATGACTGATGTCATCAGCGCTCGCAGTGCTTTTAATTGATAAAAAGGAATTAATGTATTACAAATATATATTCAGCGAATCATTAATATACAAAAATATTATTGAATAATCACGTATGTAGAATCAGTCATTTAAACATCTTAACGTTTATTTTGTTTAAGGTGAAAACATATGATATATTCAATATCTTTATTACTTTAAAGTAACTTACTTTTGCCATGATACCAGGTAGTGATCAATTTGCATAGCGCCATTAGGCTAAAATTCGCGGAGGCGACGTATTCCACCATGCGAGCAACGTTACCCCAAACCCGAATCATATTCGTTAATTGCGGTACGATCACGTAAAAACTCAGAACACACACCACAATCACAAATCTTATATTTGGCCGGCGAAAATCATTCAAAGGGATATGCGGATCGGGCCACACGCCTAATAGCCTTAAACATTGTCGACTCAAGGCAAACGCGTAATTCAAATCTAACAAATCCAAATTTTAGGAAAAAATATTATTGAGAGCAATATATTTTTACAACATTTCATATCATTAATTTGGAAAATATTTACTTAAAATATCTTTTCTAGGGATCAAAGTTTTTGAGAACTCCGTATAATACAGCGAAAAGAACGATCTGTGCGTCCACGCGACTGTTTTATTTTTACCGAACTATACCCACCTTTGCCACTCAAAAACATTGCCATTTGTTTTTACTTTATACGATGAAAGTGAATATTTTTTGCTATCGTACTCGGTTTAATGCGACTCGTGCAAACTTTTGTGGAGAAGATGAAGTGCTTGCTATAGGACGTCTATAGACTGCTTGCAGCAAAAAGTATGATTTTTACAAACTTTTGCAATAAATCAAAAGCAAATTATATTTTAACAAATAATCATCTGTTATGCACATATTATCATGCAGAACACATTTTCAGTGATTAATATGTCATTAAGTAAATGAATTTAAATAAATATTACGTGGTTAATAATACAGAGACATTTTTAGAAATATGTTTTTAACGTTGGTGAAGTAAACGTACGACAAAACATAAAATAAAACTGCGCGAATTTGCACGAAATGTATTAATAATAAAAATAATGGAAGTATAATATATTTCTGTATGTAAAGAATAATCCGTGAAGCAAATTATTTGGTTATTTAATAATTTTTTATTATCTTGTTTTCTCTCTTTTTATTACGCGAATAATAATTGAGCACTAATTAAGCATTACTTTATCCATGTTTTACGGTATCCTGTAACAGAAACTTTTGATTAACGCACTTATGTGGTCTTGATTTTGATAACTTGATTTCTTATATTCTTCCATATGGCATGGCTATTGCACTCAAACCGATTATATTTTTATTAGAACGTCGCGGTGCGAATTGTTGCGAGTTTTTTCGTGATATATATTCTACCTTTGTTGTCATTCATCGAAGTTTGCGGAGTGAAAACTATCGTTTAACCGAATTGTCTCTTTGCGTTTATACCAATCCGTTGTGATCTCGCTTGCTTTATACACGAAGGGTTTAACCACCATCTGTAAGTACTTCTCTAAACCCTTTCGGTCAACAATCGATAGCGATGCGACTAAACACGTAATTATCTTAGGCTGAATTGAATACGAAGTGAATAAAACAGCTGCTTTTCAACTATAAGCAAGTTACTTACTTGATGAGAATATTCGAGTTTATTGTCGAGATTATTTAGTTTCTAACTGTTGCGAAGAGATGTCATTGAAGCAAAAAAGGATTTTGTTAAAAATTATAAGTATATAAGTATATCATATAAAATGTTATTTGTTCACTTATCGACGCGTTATTGTAATTTTGCAGAAAGACAAAAATATTTATATTTTCATAATTAATACATTATTGATATGACTTTGTATTATATTAGTAATACTCACATATAATATTTTTATTGTTTCATCTGCAATTTAATTATATTTCGTTGCAAAATAATTTGTACGAGAGGAACGTCGTGATAAAAATTAGTATAAGGTTTTAAACCGGACATGTGTATTCCGGAGATAATTAGGAAATACTACGAAAACAACTAGATTGAAAATTGCAAAGAATTTGTCACTTTTTCAGATCTTTACCTTTTGAAGATTTTTAAAATTTTTTACGACAAACGGAGGCTAATAAATAGCTTACTTTGTTACGCAGAAATGTGTATTTATTTCATAACATTTACAAATAACGCATATATACGAAATTATTTGAAAATAACTTGTAGGCCATGCTATATAGAATTAGTTTGATTTTACAATATTTTGAACACATTGTTTCCTCTAGTTTCTCATTGTTAATAACGCGGATAAGTATCCCATTGACGTCTTTATCATCTAAACAAGATAAAAATTGGAAATGATATTCAATTTTATTTTTATGGTTGATAATATTAATGCTATCGTATTATCATATACGTATATAGATTTATCCAAAATTTTATAAATACACACATAATCTAAAATAGAACAAAAATAGAACACTATTTATTTTTTAAATTTGATATTTTTATGCAACACAATTGCAATGTGTTTATTATTTTTTCATAGATATCTTACTATTCCAAACATCTCTATTGAAAAAATTCCGAATTTTCCAGCTGTTACTTTAAGTGGAACCATAGATCGACATACAATAAACATTAGCTCCCTTGCATTTTTCGATGGTAAATCGTACCATTTGCATTCATATATGCCATATGCTATGCTGGTGGTCTGAAAATTACAATTTTTGTTTCGTGCATATCACAATAAAGTAGACAATTTTCTTACCTTTGTTGAAAGTCTTTCCGCCGAGTAACAATAAATATACAAATGCGTCAACACAAGAATGACAGCAAACGACAGGAAAGCCATTCTGATAAAAGACACGTTCAAATGATCTGTTACTAGCTGAAAATAATGCGTCTTTTAGTTCAATAGTTGAAAAGAATAGTAAACTGTGTTGTAAAATTCCTGCGCAATGTATTATAATTTTTTTATTATGAAAAAAAACGCAAGTTGTTTTACCGTATAAACCTGAAAAGTTTGAAAACACAGCTGAAAAGTAGCGGTTAGCATGTGCACAAATAATGCTGTCCTATAACATTCGTCAATTGTTTTCGCATTCTTTAAAAAATAAGTATATTATTTGTTACTCACTTTATTGATTTATTATTATAATTTTAATGTATAAATCTCAAAAAACAAATTTAATTTAATATTTTTGTGTTAAATGTCAGAGAAGTAAGTGGTTTTTGCATTTTTGTTACTCATGTTTAAAATTGATAACTTTAAATTTTTTAAGCAAAGGCATATTAGTTATTTTAGAAATATTTGCATAAAAGATAATTCATATTTTCTTTTTTTTTGTTCTTATAACTGAGAGAGATGTTGAAATGCATTTGTAAATATTTCAAACAATTTGCTTGGATATGTACAGAGTGTTCTATATTAAATGGTACATCTAAATGTTTCAAAACCGAGACACTTTTGGGAAAAAAATCTTAGATTAATGTTATGCCAAAGGCGAAAAGCAGAGAGAAACATAAGATGAAAATTTCAGTTTAATCTCAAGTTCTTTTATCAAGATTAAGCCAAGAATTACTTTTAAAGAGAATTTTTTAAATGGTATTATAAATTGTATTTTAGCCATTAAAATTTATTTTTTTGGAAAGAAGACGCAGAGACTCAAGAAAACTAAAGAAATCAGATTTTCGCTGTATTAACGTCATTGATTCTGGATTATTAAAAAATATTTTTTCTCAAAATTTGGAAAAAGCAAAATTTTTTAAATCGCTAAAAAATATACTGCATTATTTGAAAAATTTAAGTTAACTTTGTCTTAAACTTAATAGAAGAACTCAAGGCAAACTGAAATCACCATCTTATGTCTCGTTGGCAATTTTCACTTGAAACTTTTATCCCAAAGGTTTTATTTCCGAAATATTTAAATGCATAATATTTAAAATGAGACATTTTGCATAGATATTTTGTGACGCGCCGAAAATTTTCCAGTACCTGATGAGATGTTCGTGTCGTATAATAATTGCAGCCAGGCCTTCTGTAAATCTCAAAGAGGATATAGATTTGTCGGTTAATTCGTCGACCAAATTCTTAAGTGCTGTTCGTAGATTGATTAGTTGTGCGCACACGTGTAGCACGAGTATCGAAACGAAGCTGTCGACAGTACAGTTAATGAGGACTGAGTATACGCCACCAGAAATTTGGGTGAAGTATGTGATTACGTAACTCGGACTCTTTTGAATGTTATAAGGATAGACGAAATGATAGACGAGGTTCCGTTGAGAATGTTGCATGTTTCGGTAAAACTTCAAAAGATTGAAACATAAGTAAAATGAGATAGTGAGCATCGAGGACGCGTAACATCTGAAAGACAAGCTTCTGCCGCGTCCCGCGATCTTCAACATTGTATTCCGTTCCCAGTCACTTTTTGAATTTACCCAATCAGCCATGACTGATGTCATCAGTGTCCGAAGTGCTTTCATATTAAACGTAATGAATTAGTATAAATATAAATTTTGAAAGCAAACCATCTTAATATAAGAATATTGTTGAACAATACTGAGGACTATCTTTATCTGGCTATCTTAATATTTATATTATTTGAAAGAATAATTTTATTTTATATTTTTATTATTGCAAAAAGAAACTTACTTTCACCGTGATACCATGTAATGATTAACTTGCACAGTCCCATCAGACTAAAATTCACGGAGCTGACATATTCCACCATGCGAGTTATATTGCCCCAAGCGTGAATCATATTTGTTATTTGCGGTATAAGCACGTAAAAACACAGAGCGCACACCACAATCACAAATCTTAGACTTGGCCGGCGAAAATCACTCAAAGAGGTATGCGGATCGGGCCACACGCCTAATATCTTCAAATATTGGCGACTCAGGGCAAACGCGTAATTTAAATCTAACAAATCCGAATTTTAAGAAAAATATTATGGTTGAAAGCAAGGTTTCTTAAGCAATTTGTATTGTTAACTTAATTAAAATATCATATTTTCAATTATTTTCTTGGGAATTTATAGTTTTAGAGAATTCTGTTTGCGCGAGTAGAAGACAAAGAACGATTTGTGCACCAATGGAACTGTTTTATTTTTAGCGAACTATACCCAACTTTGCCATGAAAACATTACCACTTTTACTTTACGTCGAAAGCGAATATTTTTTTGCTACCGTACACAGTTTAATGCGACTTTCGTGAGACTTTTGTCGAATACGCAGTTCTATGAAACGTCTATGAATAGTTTGCTTGCAACAAAGTATGATTTCTGCGAACTTTGGCAGTGAATGATTGAAAGCAGACTTTTTTTATTCAATAAATATTTTTCTGTCATGCAATCATTATTATGTGATACATTACTTATTCTTTGATGATTAATATATTACCGAATGAATTAATCAAGAGACACGGTAGTG